ACTCAGCGGGTAATCCCTCCTGACATGGGGCCGCGGTCGGAGCGCCTGGAGAGGCGCAGTGAGGGTCGGGGAGTCCGGACGCACAACGGGCTGTAGCTGCGACAACAAGAGAGTGTTGAGTTTCAACCACCACTTGCCGCGACATTCGTCGACGTGGACTCACATTTAGGCCGGCCACTCCTTCTGGGCGCACAGGAGGCCAGCTTCCGCCCCCTCACTCATCTTTGCAACGTGCGCGGGGGGGAGGGGAGGGGGGTGATGCGATGCGTGACTCCTAGGCAGACGTGCCCTCGGCCAAATGGCTTCGGGCGCAACTTGCGTTCAAAGACTCGATGGTTCACGGGATTCTGCAATTCACACCAAGTATCACATTTCGCTACGTTCTTCATCGATGTGAGAGCTGAGAAATCTGTTGTGGAGAGTCATTCCCCCCCCCATGATCCGCGAATGGGGCGCGAGGGGAGGGCTGTCGATTGTAGTATTCCTAGACGCTTTCTGCGCTGGGGTTCGTTGGTCGCCCGAAGATCCTGCGCGCATCAGGCGACAGGAGGGAGGCGCGCGACGAGCGAGCGCCGCCCCCAGGTGTTTTAAACGAGTTTGCAAGTTATTCTGCTGTGAAGGTTTCGGCAATGATCCTTCCACAGGTTCACCTACGGAAACCTTGTTACGACTTCTCCTTCCTCTAAATAATAAGGTCCAATGGACTTCTCGTGACGTTGTGGGCAGCGAACCGCCCACGTCGCCGCGATCCGAACATTTCACCAGATCATTCAAATGGTAGGAGCGACGGGCGGTGTGTATAAAGGGCAAGGACGTTGTCAACGCAAGCTTGTGACTCACGCTTACTAGAAATTCCTCGTTGAAGACCAACAATTGCAATGATTTATCCCCATCACGATGAAATTTCAAAGATTACCCGGTCCTGTCAGCCGAGGCTATAAGCTCATTGAATACATCAGTGTAGCGCGCGTGCGGCTCATAAAATCTAAGGGCATCGCAGACCTGTTATTGCCTCAAACTTGCACGGCCTAAAAGGCCGTAGTCCCTCTAAGAAGCTGGCCGCGAAGGGATACCTCCGCATAGCTAGTTAGTAGGCTGAGGTCTCGTTCGTTAAAAGAATTAACCAGACAAATCGCTCCACCAACTAAGAACGACCATGCACCACTACCGTAGAATCAAGAAAGAGCTCTTAGTCTGTCAATCCTTACTATGTCTAGACCTGGTAAGTTTCCCCGTGTTGAGTCAAATTAAGCAGTAGGCTCCACTCTTGGTGGTGCCCTTCCGTCAATTCCTTTAAGTTTCGGCCTTACGACCATACTCCCCCCGGAACCCAAAAACTTTGATTTCTCATAAGGTGCCGGCGGAGTCCTAAAAGCAACATCATCAGATCCCTGGTTGGCATCGTTTATGGTTGAGACTGGGACAGTATCTGATCGTCTTTGAGCCCCCAACTTTCGTTCTTGATTAATGAAAACATCCTTGGCAAATGCGTTCGCAGTTTTTCGTCTTTCATAAATCCAAGAATTTCACCTATGAATATGAAATACGAATGCCCCCGACTGTCCCTGTTAATCATTACTCCGATCCCGAAGGCCAATGTAATAGGACCCAAATTCTATAATGTTATCCCATGCTAATGTATAAAGAGCGTAGTGTCACGGACTTAGAGTATTCGCTAAGACTCCGTGCAGCACTTGAAAACTTACTCACGATTCTTTCACGATCTCGTAAACTCAACTAAGCCTTTTAACTCAGAACGCTAACAGAATAAGAAGAAAGACAAAGAAAGATTTTGGAAGAGAGGACTTGTATTGATTGTTGGACTATTGGATTCTTTACAAATGAAATGATCCTCCGATTTATACTACTCCCTAAGGCCTAAGAGTAAATAAATGTTGTTTTACAAGTCCCTAAGTACAAGCACTTTAATACATGTTCTACATTCCTAGAACGTGTCTCTAACTCTTCCAAAAGACTCCTAGAATTCTCTAGTCTGCCTCCAAGTCTGCCACAAGAATCTAGAAGGCTCTAGAGTCTTCTACAAGCCTCTCCAAGGCTCTAGGGCCGCCTGCCCCATCCGAATGCTGCAAAATGGCTGGAAATGTGGCGGGACGTCACAATCTCCCCCACATAATGATGCGGCGACTGCGACGCATCGCTGCAAGAACTCCTGGACTTGGTCCTTGAATTGCCACAAGTCTTCGTACTTCTCTCATGTGGCTTCTTCAGGAGTTTGTCCCTTCCAATGTACGAGAAACATAGCGCTTGCTTGTTGTCCTCGTTTTTGTTGGGCTTGGTAATCTATGATGGCTTCAATTTCTCGATCGTGCGAGGTAGTGACAGTGATAGGGGCCCGTTGTGATTTGTTCCGGCTGGGATCGTCCTTATATTCATGATACGGCTTAAGGACGCTTGCATGAAAGACCGGGTGGATTTTCAAGTGTGGAGGTAACTCCAACTTGTATGAAATTTTGCCCACCTTGGCAACAATCTTGAGTGGACCCTCATATTTATGCACTATGTTGTGATGGACGCCTCTTAGTGCCTTAAACTGCCTCGGATTGAACTTTACCAAAACCATGTCGCCTTCTTTGTAGTCCGTGGGATGACGCTTTTGGTCGGCAAACTTTTTCATCCTCTCTGCTGCCTTGTCCAAGTAAGACCTTGCGGTGTTAAGTTGTTCTGCCCATCCCTTGGCAAGGTGGTAAGCGCCCCAACTTTTCCCCTCAAACGTAGTTGGCAGTGAATGCGGAGTTTGGGGTTGCTGACCCGTTGCCAACTTGAATGGTGTGCGTCCGATGGATTCACTCCTCTGCAAATTATAAGAAAATTGTGCCATGTCTAGGAGCTTAGCCCAATATTTTTGGTGCGCACTGACATAGTGCCTAATATAGCACTCTAACAAGGCATTGACGCGTTCAGTATGGCCGTCACATTGCGGGTGGAAACTTGTGTAAAAGTGAAGTATTGAGCTAAGAATTTAGAAGAGTTCATTCCAAAAGTTCCCAGTGAAACGAGGATCCCGATCGCTGATGATGTACCTCGGCAGCCCCAATATTTGACTACATTTTTGAAAAACAACTGAGCGGCTTCCTTGGCGGTGCAACCGACTGTGGAAGGCATGAAGGTAGCATATTTAGAAAATCTGTCTACCACGACCATAATCGTGCCAAGCCCATTTGACTTCGGCAAAGAAGTGATGAAGTCCATAGTTATTCTCTCCCATTGACAATCTGCTACGAGTAGTGGCTCTAACAGCCCTCCTGGTTGCCTCTGTTCTACCTTGTCTTGTTGGCACACAAGACAAGTATGCACATAACGCTCAATATCGTCCCGCATACGTGGCCAGAAGTAAAGAGTCTCAATCAATGCCCTCGTTCTTCGCTGCCCTGGATTCCCAGCCCACGGCGTGTCGTGGCTTCCTTTTATAATACACCGTCTGATAGATCTGAACTTGGGTACATAAACTCTCCGTCCGGCGGTAAGCAAGATTCCATCTTATACCCAAAAATGCCTGGTTTGGCCTTGGGCAGCCAGCTCCATTATCTTCTTGGCTTCCGGATTGTGTCGCATACCATCTTGGATTGTGTCTTGGATTTCACAACGAGCTGTGGAGATGGTCGCTAGCTCATCCTTCCTGCTTAATGCATCGGCCACTACCTTTCCCCTTCCTGGTTTGTACTCCAAGACGTAGTCAAATTCCGCCAGGAAATCTTGCCATCTAGCCTGCTTTGGTGTGATCTTCTTCTGCGACTGAAAATAGCTAGTAGCAACATTGTCGGTTTTCACCATGAATTTGGAGCCTAGTAGATAATGTCTCCATGTGCGTAGACAATGTACGATGGTCGTCGTCTCCTTTTCTTGCACTGTGTACCGTCGTTCAGCTTCATTTAACTTTCGGCTTTCAAATGCTATTGGGTGTCTCTCCTGCATCAAGACTCCCCCAATGGCAAAATCGGAGGCATCCATATGAATATCGAAGGTCTTTGTGAAATCGGGCAGCATCAAGACTGGTTCTTCTATAACCGCAGTCTTGAGACCTTCAAATGCTTCCTGGCACTCCTCGCTCCACACCCATGGCTTATTCTTCTTCAATAGCTCGGTCAGTGGGGTAGCTTTAGCTGAGTACCCACTAATGAACCTACGATAATAGTTCGCAAGTCCAAGAAATGAACGCAGCTCAGTCACCTTCGTAGGCGCTTCCCACTCTTTGATCGCCTTAACTTTTGCCTCGTCCATCTGAAGTTCACCTTGGATGATAATATGGCCTAAGAAATGTACCTCGCACTTTTCCCGCCATTTGACATAACTTTAATTTAGGACCACATGATCAAAAGTCTTCTTTATTTTCTTAAACTCCGTGCCAAATCAAACTAGGTTTTTCTTTATAAAATGCAGGGAGTAATTAGTTTTATAACATCCAAAATATTTTCAAGTTATTTTGAAAGTAACTTCAACATTTATTTACTTTTTCAATAATAAATATGCCTCTCTCTCTCTCTCTCTCTCTCTCTATATATATATATATATATATATATATATATATATAAATATATATATATATATATATATATATATATATATATATATATATATATATATATTGAAAATCTTATTTCTTTAAAATGTTTTATTAAATTAGTCTATTCTAAAGCAACTATTATAATCCTGAGTTAATTAATTTTTATGAAATTCAAAATATTTTTAAGTTATTTTTGTCAATTTTATAATTTTTAAAACAATAAATATAATATTAATAGTTATGTACATAATTAGTATATTTTATAAGTATTTTAAAATCATCACAAAATATCTCATGTTTTAGTTAAATATTTTGTTATTCCCTCCTTTTAAAAAAGGATGACCTAGTTTGACTTGAAACGAAGTTAAAGAAAAGAAAGAAAACTTTTTAATCTTGTGGTTCTAAATTAAAGTTATATCAAATGTATCAAAATGTCCTTTAATCTTGTGGTCTTAAACATGTCACGTGAAAAGTTAAAGTTACAGTGTTGCTAAAAAAGGAAAGGGATTTTTTTTACTCTTTTTGAAACGGAGGGAGTAATTTAGTTTGATTCACATTATGGTTATAATGTTAAATTAATTAGTTCATAATTAAGTTAATCATTTTATTTTATTAAAATTAAGAATCTTAGTTAATCGATAGTAATTCATCTTATTTAATTTTACCCAAATTTATGAATTATATTCAATTTGGCTAAGCTTGTTAATTGGTTATAATTGTAATCCATCTAACCATTTTGAAATTAAAATTTTAGACCTTTTTTTTTACCTTCGAGTCGAAACCAAATTTGGGCCAATCTCACTTTTCCATTTTCTCCCAGCCAGCCCACTTCTCCAGTCCAGCAAATACGCAATAACAATTTTTCCTCACTTTACCCCAATAGAAAAAATTATTATTTTTTATTAAATAATTATTAATTTTAGTGATATTTTTTTCTTTCTTTTTATTATTTATTACTCTTTACTTTTATTTATATTTTTATTTTTATATTAGAAGTGACTTGATTCAACATGCCTACTTTATTATTTTAAATGGTATTTAAGTCTTTTTAGCTTTATCTTATAGTTACGTGTTTTCTTTGTGTGTTATCATCCTTTGTCTTTTCAGCTCCATATTATAGCTACGTGTCATCCATCTGTATTAGAAGTGGCTTGATTCAACATACCTACTTTATTATTCTAAATGGTATTTCAGTCTTTTTAGCTTTATATTATAGTTATTTGTCTTCTTTCTGTGTTATCATCCTTGTCTTTTAAGCTCCATATTATAGCTACGTGTCTTCTATCTGTATAGTCAATTTATTTTCTGTGTCTTCATCATTTATACACCACCGTTTTTTCGACATTATATGCAGGTTAGACTCTTTCATTTTTTCATTGAGATTTTTGTATCATCTTTCTTTTCCTCATAATGAAGTTGAGACATATTTCACCATTTTATCTTTCTTTGACCATATTTGATTGGGTGTGTGAATATTCAAAATTTGATCTCGGTATGTAACTACTTTCTTCTTTCATTAGGGTTTGTTATTGAATTTGATTTTTCTTGTGTTTTGAAAATCCCAATAATTTTGATTGTTATGATATCAATTTGGGTTGGGTGATTTTCCTATTCTATTTTGGATTGTTAGGAAACTGCATTCAGATTTTTGTTGTGTATTTCACATGCAATAATTAATGTGATGTTTTGCCGTCAGAATTAACATTATGGGTTTCTTTATTTTAGTTGGGTATCAGTTTTTTGGGCTCATATGAGTTTATTTTGGAGTTTTTTCGTAGCTTCTAGGCAATGAAATTGAAAATTTTCCCCATTAGATCCCGACGATATTGCGTTCAACTTATGCATTACCATACTATATTTATTTGGTTTTAGTATCTCTTTTATCTCTTTATGATGTTCCGACAAAACAAAAATAGCAACATATGAATTTTAGTCGCAAGGGAATGACCTAACGATTGAGAAATAGTTGAGGGGAAATTGGGAATCGAGGTTGGAATCCCAATAGAGGAATAACTCAAAAAGTGCAGAAATTTCTTGCATCTGCCTAAGTTTAATGAATGGAGTTAGTCAATATATGTGTTGCTAGGTCCCTATAGGAATAATTGAAAAAGTGCAAAAATTGCTTGCATCTGCCTTTTCAATCTTTCTGTTCAGTATCCCCTTTTAAACTCACTTCTTATGTTTGATTTTCTTCTCATTCTTTCTCTTCTCGCATTTTTTGGGCTTCTTTTGGTAAAGTCCTTCACAGATTTGACTCTTTTCCTCGCTAAAGTTTCACTCTTTATACTTTATGTTATGTAATATATGATTATAGTAATGTTTTGATTAAGTTTCTGTATTTAGAGTTTAACTTCTTGTTCTTGTGCTTTATTGATGTTTTGGTAATTTTTCTTATATGGATTCTTATGTTATGTTTTATTTGGTTATTCCATGACCCCTTCTGGCTTCAGAATCAATAATAGTGTTTTGTTTCTTGTGTGTAGTTGCATTCTTTGAAAGGATTTTGATGATCTACTAGACTAGAAAACATCATATAAAAGTGTCTTGGGTTGATCACTTTTGAACAACTATGAAATATGTCCAGTGTCTGATTTGGATAGTACTATTGTTTTGTAATGGATCTTGTCAAGTACAATTGTTATGTCACTATTATAACATAACTGGTAGGGCTTTGTGTTAAAAAGTCATTACTTTATGCCTAGATTTGAATCCCAATAAGATGCCTCAATAGTCAAATATCCTATTTTATGTTAATATAACACTCATTTTCTTCCTAACAAAATAATCAAATTATGCAACTTAGCATATATATTGTCAACATTTCTTCTACAACTGATGCTTTCTCCTTTTGTTATTAACATAATTTGTACTACTTTTCTGCATTGCACCACTCTTTTATCCATTCAACTGTTACAAATGTAGATGGCGTTCACTTCTGTTGTTGATAGCTTGGACTCTGCTGCCTGCTTGTTTCTTGGAAATTGTCAGTTAATTAGATTTTGCAATCACTCATAAATTTTGAAATGATATGCTACTATAATTCTCATTTACTCCTCATATCTACATACTAAATTTATATTCCGTATTATTTCACAGATACTTTCTGTCTAGACTGAAAAATAATAGCGTGGAATGTAAATAACACAACCATGACAATAAACGAAATAACTGATATTATAATATCTATATCTATACGTGAGTGTCTCTCCATGTATGCACTATCCTTGCATTCAACTCACAACAATTTTACAACGTAGGGCCGTGCACCTAGTAAAAATGCATATCAATACTAAGTCTGCTATATGTATTTAAAATAAATTATACATGTAAAATATAAGTATTGTGATTGTTTTTTAAATTTATATACACTTGTTTAGTAAATTGAAAGATTGTATTATAAGTAAATTAAAATGTGCAATAAATGTATTATCCATTCGTAAAAATTTTACCATATGTGAATAAAAAATTAATCTTTGTAATATGTATTAAAATTGTATTACTTAAAAGTGATCAAGTGAAACAAAAATATTGTTGTTATAAATGATATATATTTTTTTAATATAGTATAGGAATAAGAATCTGAAAAATATTTCAACTTTGGTTGAATTTGTTATTGCGATATTAAACTTTCATAAGTATCAATTATCTCCATGAACTATTTAATAATGTATTTTAAAGATATATATGTGCTCACGTGGACACATTAATATTTATAATTTTGCATTATTTATTATGTCCACGTGTGTATAAATATATATATATATATATATATATATATATATTGTATTAAATAGTCTAGGGAAATAAAAGATCGTCATGAAAGTTTAGTATCACAATAACAAATTCGATCAAAATTGAATATTTTTCAGATCCTTATTCCTATAATATATTTATACGAGGTTCATAATATTACAAGGGAAAAGGACATTTTTAACCTTTTTCTATAATATAAAAGGCAAGAGTTGCCCGTGCAAGCACGGGCTTAACATTGTTAAATTTTTGTGTTCAGTTTTTTGTGATTTAATAAGGGTGGTGTACACATGGAGACAGAAGCAGACACGCGCACATATATATACATATTTTTTGTTGCCATGACTCTGTTAGTTCGATTGGATAGATACATTGTACAGTATTTATAGAATGCTGCCATTTTGACTGTTTTACTGTGTTACTCAGCGCTAGATTGGAAGTATCTGTAAAATAAGACTGAGAAATGAATTTTGCATGTAGTTATGGGGAGGAGTAAATGTGGAGTATAGTACTGGACTATTTAAGAATTTATTAGTGGTTGCAACCTGTAAATTTCTAAGAAGTAGGCAGCAAAGTTGCTATCGACAACAAAAGTGTACACCATCAACAATGTAGTAAGTTGAGCGGCCAAAAGGGTGTTGCCAACCATATTGCAAAAAAGCACTAGACTGATAAACAAAAAGACAAATTATCATGTTATGATATTGACATATAATCATTGGATTTAAATCAATAGAATATTTGACTATGGAAAGGCTTACTGATTCAAATCTAAGTATAAACTATTCAATTGGTGAACTTTCGAGGAAACATGGGTTACAAAAAATAAAAGAGAAAGCATACAGAAGTCTTTATATTGAAAAAAGTAGAAAATGATTTTAAAATATGTGATACACTAACAAGCAAATATTGAAGTATCAAGACTTCTATTGGTTTCACACATGATAACCAACACTTAGCTATTGAAAAGTAGAGAAGACAATCCTTCTGTACAAAAGACTCATTTCTTTTAGCATTTAAACATAGCAAAAGACAAGGTCAACTTGATAGTCTGGCATCCTAGCGGTAGCTTTACTTCTTTTGTGTGTAGCTAACATTTTCCTTTTGGTTATTTTAACAATTGAAATTTTGTGATGCATCAAGAGATATATCGTTGGCTAACAATTGGATGTTTTGTGGAGACAATACCTTTTTGTCATGATTTGCTTAAGGTTGTGTTTACTGCTTTCTAGCATTGTTAGTGCAGTGAGAGAAGAATGCCCACGAGCCATAACATATTTAGGAGTATTTAGCTCTTCACCAGTAATCAAAACAGTGCATAATAATGTGATTGAACCGCTACTAATCATGGAGATAAAAGGAGGAAGGAGAACGTGGATCGTTATCTATAGTAGAAATCACACTTAAATTGTGTACTCCGATAGAGCAAAATCACATTAGTTAGTTTTGAAGTTTTGATTTATCACCAATCTAGTAAAGTTTTTGGTTTTTTTTATATTTGACTATTCACGAGTATCTAGTGAATGTGGTTTTGCTCTAAGATATGACACATTTAGCATGGAATACAAACAGTGACCCTGAGTATTTGTTGAGTGTACCTTTCTCTGATATTTGAAACATTTCGTATGGTCGATGGAGAAGTGACAATGCATGAATTCGTGTTGATATATTTCACTATTTAGCGATCAACTCACCAGTAACAAAAACCAATCGTTCGACTCTTCCATTTCATCATTCTGTTCGATTCTAATATTTAAATTATTGAACGATGATTTTAATTCAGGTTTCGAATCGATCTTTTAGAATTATGCTTCTAGCCTATGTATTATATTGCTGGTATCGTTACCACCCAACTAAAAATGGTAATCACTTTTGCTAGCATACTATTATACCCCGTTTAAAGTCCTAGATTCGCAAGGTTGTAATGGAAGAAAAACATGAAAGAAGTGCTCTAAGGGAAGACCAAGTTTCGCGGAAAAAGCTATTGTTGCTGCAAAAGCAGCAGCTGCTGATGTGGCCCGCTTAAGCCAAGAGATGCTCCCATCTAAAACTGAAGGTTTGTTAGGAAAGTTCTTTGTGTTAATACTGAAACAGTTTTTTTTTTGCTTTTTTAATTGCATTACCCCATGCTAAGCTTATCCATTCATAAATATTTTGCAATGAAAATCTTCTTAGCAATTGGAGTTGTTGTCCTCCACAAAAAAGGTACTTTAAGGAACGAAGGGACGATTTCTAAGACAGGTCTGAAATGACTCGAAGAGCTTGGATATTCACTCTTATCCAAGGAAACTTATTATATATAAGCAACTATAGAAGGACGTATAGTGTGGATCAGAGTTATATTGGACAGCTGTAACATGTCAATTAATCAATTAGTTATTGCATAAAGCTTGCTCGCTAAAGATATGTTTGATTAGATTAACCAAATAATTAACAGAATTCAACTTGCATACCTAAAATGTATATCGATTATAATATATACGGGGAAGATAAAACAGTTGGTATGTAACAATAAAGGAAAATATGATTGCTTCATTTTATTGTATCAAATATTAGTTGATGTACATGTCTTAACATCGCGAGGCTTAGATCACAATTTTCAGTTTTGAAAGTTGGGACGTAAAATGTACTTACTGATAGTCGATGATGGTGAATTCTTGAGTTCTGCTCCCATTTGAGACACATGATGGAGGGCTACCATTTATCACGATGGCAAGAATATCTCGCAGAAAGTAAAGAGTTAATAGTTAGGTAGAATAGTTATGAAAAATGGATCATATGTGTGGTAAGAATAGTGTAAGGATACTTTGAGAAGTACAATGAGTTAGAATATTTTATGATCCCTCCACTGGCCGTCCCTGAATACTTCCATGATTTCGCTTATCCTATGTCATCTTAAGCCTTACACAACAATGGTTTTAAAGTGACAGATTTCATTTCTTAAATGGATTGGTATCTATACAAATTTCAATTCAACTTTCCGGAAATTTAACAAAGAAAATCAACAACATCCAACCCAACCAATAACTTTCCAATAACACAAATTATGCCTACAAAACAAAAAAGACTAAAACTTAGATTTATTCATAATCTTTGTGTCCCATTGTCATAATTTTTAAAAATATTTAGTTAATATTTCAAAAATCATAAGAAACAAATATAATAACAAAGACACAATGAAAAAGTTTAAATATATTTTCAAGAAATGAAAATTTGTATAAAGAATCAAGCACTTCTACAAACCAAAACTCAAAGGCAACAATATTCCAACTAACACTATCAAATGTAGCAAGTAAGGTTTAACTGAAAAAATTTACATAAAATTTCACTTATCAATTTGAAAAGCTTTGGCGATTAGATTCTTTCAATTTAGCAGGTTCCAAAAAGTTGTTACGACACAAAAGTAAATCAGAAAAATGAAACAATGGGTTTTTTTTAAGAAAACCATAATCACCCCCTGCTCAAATGACACAGAGACGAGAGAATTGAACTCAAGCGTGGAATCAAATTAATCAATTACCAACTTTACCTAAAAAGAAACCTCAGAAATCAACTTTCCCTAATTCCACAAAGAAAATCAACAACATTCAATCCAAACTGTAACTTTCATATAACACAAATTATGCCTATTAAGCAAAGAGTAAAACATAAATTTAGAGTGACAATAAATGCTCCACATCAAAACTCACAAGCAACCGAACAGAACTCTAGCGCGAAATCAAATCTATCAATAGCCAAATTTAATTAAAAAGAAACCTCACAATTCTTAGAGCGAGTAAAAAGCAAACTAAAAATAGTATGTAACATATCAATTTAACTACAAAATGATTTGTGAAAATAGATGGCTATTTGTTAGTTTAGTGGCAAATATCTCTTCATCTTGTAATATCATTAATTGATATTTCTTGTTTCCCTCACTGGTTGTTCGAGGATGATCTCTATCTACCACTTGGACTTTACAGGTTCATTCTTCTGCTCATGTCGATTTTGTTGATATTCAACTTTTCTATCATGACTGAAAACTGAGGTTGAAATATGCAAATCAACATCATTAACGGAAGAAGAATGGTATGAAATAGAAAAATATACAAGGTTAAATAGCATTTCAGAAATTTTCAAGACTACCCTGCTCCACCATTTCCCCTCTCCAACTGAGCTCAAACAACTTAACCAATAAACCTCCATCGCTACTCGCACTTTCTCGGTTAACTTATACCTTGTTCAATGAACTTAATTTGCCTACACTAATATATTTCATAATCAATTACTAATACAAAATTCATGTCCCAAAAAATTAATATAAAGCGCCATAATTTAGAGCTTGTTCGGATTGAATTAAAATTTCATCAAATCTACAAGTTATTTTTAAATTTTGGGAGAGATTTTTAGCTCCATTGATCAGCAAGAAGTTGCTATATGGAGTAGCTGTAAGGTTGTT